CAATGCGACCGTAAACCTATATAATAAGTTAATTTATACTGAAGATGGCCTAAAAAAGAGGCCGAAACGTCTAATTTGCATATAGAGAATAAAAAACTGTTTGCGCTCCAACTACCGCGCCTGGCTCTGATTGCCATTTCCAATTAATTTAATTTGACAGTAAAGTAAGTTTCTTGCTATAATACTTCTAAGGGGGAAGTATATCAATTTGTATTCATTTAAACGAATGCTTGTCAATGTTAAACGAATAATTGTCGGTTTGCCCCTATAGAATCATCACTCACCTTGAGAAAATGCCAATAGGCCGAGGAGACACAAGATCGTTAACGCCATCGTTTGATCGCCGACCATAGACTGTATTGTAATATGTTGATACCGCGAATTTATATACTGCTTCCAATCCACTTCCGTATAAGTAGTCCAATGATTGACAATTTTTTCTTGTGAAATCTAGATTAGATAGCTCGATTACGAAGTAGTATATCGGAGATGTTCTACCGAGATTGATAAGGATTGGCAGATCAATCGTTTTTTGATAAAAACGTGATTGCGACACTGAGATTTTAGATCGCACAAATCGTTCCCTTATTTTGGTTAATTGCCGACTTTATTTTATATTTTCCTTTGAGAAAGGAATCTGAGTCAATGATAACTAATTACATCTATTCTCCAATTATTATTTTACAATTTCCAACTTGTTATAATTAAAAGTATGTAAGAAGAATACTTTTTACAATAATGTATAACTGTAAATTACTATAAATAACTATCTAGATTAATTATAAGCTAGTATATTTGATTTAGAATATATGTGTAGATTTAATTTGTAATAGATAATACATATTACAATATCTTTTTAATTATCCAATTTTTTATCGTTCAATTATAACAATGATCTGTCCTGTTAACATCTGTCTCGTTGACTGATATATGAGACATTGGGTTTTCCCATATCTCTTAATCTTGCCTGATGAATCTTTAGCATGTTTCATTGAATGTGATAGAATATCGTGATCCTTCGATGATGATATGATAATCATCGCAGCGACGTCTCATTTTTACATTTCCTATAACTTATCATTTAATGAAATACATGATACTTTATAGCCATGGTAGACATTATTTTTAATCTTCGCGGAAATAATCTATCGATTAGAGTTATCGCTCGTTAATTTGTTCGCAAACAATTTATATGTTAGACTAAAATATATATATATATATATATATAATAGTTTCAATATTTGCTGACGTATTCTCGACCTAATAGTACATTTTTTTCATTAATGTCCCTTCGCGCAACATTACATTAAATTTTATGTAAATTAAATATCAAAAATAACTTTTAATATAGACCTACTAACATTTCTCCTTCACATATATTACTTTGTCAAGAACTTTAATTACTTCCTATTAAAAGTTCTATACTCGCGGCGCTAATTTCAATAGAAGGTCTCGCGAGAGATAAAAAAGTTTCGGTCATTTCTTGGCAGTTGACGATGTTTTATCAGGAAATCCTGACGGACCGTCGAACGGATAAAGGTGGGAGACGATCGATTGTTGGTTCAGGACGGCTACAGGGTATCAGTATTGCAGGATTCATCTGCGACCAACGACCCCGTGTCCTGACCACGTAATCGGTCGTACGGATGATCAAAGATTCGCGCATCGATCGAGATCACCGATGTTTTACGTGCAGAAACTTTCGATCGTGTTCGCGCGCTTAGCCTTTACCAAACTTCACGATAGCATGTTGGAGGTTTGGATAAATTTACAACTGATGGGAATGTTTAACTTTGGAACGAATTCATGATGATCGTAAATATAATTCGTGTTTCCTATTTTCTCTAAAAGAAATTACGTGATTAAAAAATTTAATGTTTAAACCTTTTCAACATTATTTATAATTAAATTGTAATGTGATATTTTTGTTGTCGCAAATTAAAAATATTATTTATTATTAATAATATTGTTTATTTTGTGAAATTTATATGCAATGATAAAGATAAGATAAGATAATAGATATAAAGATATCAAATTCTAATAATATGTTTACCAATTTATTTACGCAATATATTATACGAAATATAAATATATAAATAAGATATATAAATAAGATCGTTTATCAACTGTGATAATGACAACTCCATTGCTTGATAAAAATATTTGATGCGATAAAAAAATCATTTTCGACAATTATTTGAACGAAGCGTTTTTAAAATGTTATGATATGAATCAAAACTAGAAACTTCTCAATCACATAGTATAGCTTAGATAGCAAGTATGATTTAATTTTATTATAGGTCAGCTTATCTGATAAAACGTGCTTTAGCGCCATTCAATATTTACGGAAATCGTTTAATAATAGTGTCGCGATAAGTATCCTTATTTTAGCAACTATAATAGTTATAAATGTAAAAAAAATAAGATAAATAGATTATATAGAAGAAATTAAATTATTATGTAGCGGTAGTTTTTAGACTGTGCATATAAATCTTCGCAATTTCGTAAATACTCTTGTAGGGACACATTACAAACGCATATTGTTCATACAGAGGGATTTATTTTCTTACGTCGACAAAGTTTGTCTTCGCATGCATTATTCAAGTGTAAATGGAATAAAAGGATCAAAGGTTGTCCGAGAACAACGAGATCTTTCTTGCTAACGCATTCCAGAAAAATCCGAGAGCACGTTTTTTCTCTTCCACGCGTAAAATCGCCAAGATTTTCAAACAAAAGACAAGCGCTTAAAGAGCGAAAAGATTAGTGAGAAGAAGTACAAAGTACGTATTTTCCGAGCAATTATTTATGCGACAAGAAATATGTATAATTTTTGTCATAGATACTACCATTTTCATTGCAATGGATTACCGTATTTTTTATATATATTAAAGTATATGTTTTATATTTTTGCTAATAATCTCTGCTCACGAATAAAATATGGTTCTGAGTAGATATAGTGTGTACGTGTGTGTGTGTGTGTGTGTGTATGTGTGTTTTCATATTTTCAATAATAACTATTTATTTTAATCTATTTAATTTCATTAAATTTTTAATTTGTATATCTTAACTATTTACTTTTGAATATAGTTTATTGTGAATCCATTTAATTCAGGTCATAATGATTAAATCGTAACCACAGCGCAATACAGATACGCTTATCAACTATCAGAACGTCGCGAACCATGGATGATAAATTCACTACGCATTACTTCGCGATTTTTTTAACAATTGCGCGATTTATTGGGGTACATTGAACTTTGACAATACCCTCGCTCTCGAGCGACCGTCAGAAACGGTTCAACGAACGCGTACAGTACCGCTTTTCTTCTTTCTTGCTCTCGTCGTTGGGAAAAATAGTTGTGGCAGCTATGTTATCACAACGCTACGCGCATGACCTGCCGCGATAAAAGAACATCGATTGCCAGTTTGTGCAAAGTCTCCGATTTGTTTTCGTGATTGTACGTCGTTAATTAATGCTCAACATCGCGCGTTCGTAAGTTTGTTTGTACAACTTTGATACGATACGTGCTCATTTTCTTTCTGCGTTTTGCTCTATTCTCAAGGGACGGTGTCTCGAAGCAATCTTATCTTTTATTAGAATTGAAAAAATTATGTGGCACAATTAGTGACGCATTTAATAATAATAGCAATAACTAAAGCGATAGTTTTTACGCAAGTAAGCAAGCGAATTGTGCTTTTGTATGATATTATATTTTTAGTGTGAGAATAAAGCATGATTTTAATTTGATAAAATTAATAAATTTTGAAAATTACTGAAGATGTGGTCCTATATTCAATCAAACTGTCTAATAAATACATTCATACCTACGAAGAATAATATAATTTTGGCGCTCTTTATCCAGCGCACAATGGCTCTCATTTACCCGTTCTATTTTATTTATTTGTAAATATTAATAGAGATAATATTCACTCTATAATTTTAATTTTTTTTGCTATCTGATTAAATTTGATAACGTAAAGATTTCTTTTTAAGATATAAGATAATTCCAATTTCTATTTATTGCCATTCTTATTTTTTTATCTCAGCTAATTCTTTGGATTAAAGCATATGGATTATTCATAAAAATTAACTAATTAGATTAAACTAACTAATAATTATTTTAATTATTATATATCAAATATTATGTTTTTAATCTATATATACGTAATTTATACAGAAATTAAATGTTTACAATCTAAAGAAAGATTGAATTAATCTATTTACACATTCAGCTTATCTCAATTTTATAATCTTAGATGTTACAGTCTTTCCGCTAATTCTGGGAGTTTCTATATTTATTATTTATTATTTGTAAGTATTATTTATTATTTATAAATGGCCAATTATTTAAAATATATTTAAAATGAACGTTAATAAATGAAAAAAAATTTGGGCACGGTTATTGTAGACCTTTAAACTCTCTTTCTCTCTCTCTCTCTCTCTCTCTCTTTTCTCTCTTTTTTTCTCTCTTTACGGACAACGTTTAGTATCTGCACTAGTGTAGCAATACAATTACAAATGTGTGTGTGTGTGTGTGTGTGTGCGTGCGCGCTTATATTACAATTTTCTTATTTATAAAGTACTATTTGTGACTCATTTCCTGCGTTTATAATGATAATTTTTATTATGCTAGCAATATCAGTTTAGCAAGACATAGCACGATTTAACGTATATATTTCAGAATAACGAATTTTTTATCCGTAGAAGACAAGATACTCAAGGTACCTATTATTGACGATACACTTATCGCAATGTAATAAAACGAAAAAATAAATATAATCTAATGTATTCGATATCTTCGCAATTGGCGATCGTAGGTCTGTATGAATATCAATTGTATTTACACGGCATTTTTCTCGATCCAGTCAATGTACGAAGGTATGCGGGTGAACACAGTCGGATAGTCGGTAAGGGAGCAAGCTTTTGCCCATGATACAAGCCCAACAAGTTTTCCATTAACAATCAAAGGACCGCCCGAGTCACCCTGCAAAGAAGATTAAAGTGCTTTTTTATCTTTTTTTAACGATTTGTGCATGCATAAAATATTTGAAGTTTAACGCTTGTAAAGTGATACAACCCTTTACACAACTGTTGCTCTTTCTTTTAATTCTTTGCCTATTATGTATATTTCGCAAAAAGTATCACAATTAACTATTTTTCGTAATTGTTTAACTTACCTTTTTTTTTGACTTATAGTTTAATAACTTTTTTTGTACCTATTTTCACTAAGGATTAATTATATTGAAAACAAGTAATAACTCAAATGATTTTACACAACTTACTTTGCAAGATCCTCTGCTAATGTTTGGATCGTTGGCACAGATATGAGTGTCATAGATATTATACAACATCTTGCTGTACATATTCTTGCAATAATCCTGATCGGCTATGTAAATGGTAGCCTGTTGTAAGATGTTGGAGCCAGGTCCGTCTTGCTATAATTTATGTACAAGCGCGAGATTAACGAGTTAAATACGGTGCTAGAATTATGCTGCTGCATTAATTTCGGTAAATATATCTAAAAACCACAGTAAGAGCTACGCAGAGAAAATTGATGCTACACTTACCGATATTCTTCCAAATCCGGAAACTCTTGCCGCGGTACCTGGCTGGACCGCTTCGTCTTTATTGGGAAGATTTACGAATCCAATATTACGCGATGGCCTAAACGGGGAGAACACCTAAAAAGCAAAGTGCGTCAACGATGAGAAACGATGATATCGAAATTCCAAGAAACAGTTGGTATAATATTTACGAGATAATTTACCTTGATCAATGCAACGTCGTTAAGCCACGAATTAGAAGGATCATATTCTTTATGAAAAATAATCTCTTTAATTGCATGCTTTACGCCCGAACGATTCAAATTTACGGTGCCAACGACGATTATGATATCTGCAGGTATCTTACTGTAAAAGCAGTAATATTAATTAAAATATGAAATTATTAAAAACAACTTTAAATACATAAGCTGTGATATTTCATATATGATATTTTAAAATTTATGTCAAAATTAATTACCCATCCACGCAGTGAGCGGCAGTGATAACATAATGTTTATTAAGGATAGATCCTCCGCAAAAATGAAATAAATTTTTTGTCTGCAAGGAGACCTAGAGTGAAATGAATTTAAGAAATTAATTTTATCTCATGTGTATATAGAGTTTTCTATTTTTCTGCATTTAAATAATCAAATATATATAGAACGTCAGTGCTGTTTATATCGGTATTTGAAGCGCTGAAACTAGATCTGCAATATAAGAAAGAAATTTTATATAGGAAGGTAATGTTATTTCATGGATCGCTAGAACTCACCTGATACGGTATCTCACCCGACGCTACATCTTTTCCATTTATGATTCGTGATTCGTACTGCAGTACGGCAGCTGTTGACACAATATTAAACTTATTTGAGCTAAGGCTTTTACTATAGAATTTATTTTGTTTTCTTCTATATTTTAATATAATTGAAAATATATATTGCTAATATAGCGCTTACTTAAATTTCATTGAAAATCTATAACTGTCTATGATAACATTTATTATCTGGCATTTATTGCCTTTTATTTTATATATTTATTAATTTCATTTAATTTTATGAAAATATATATTTCTGATTTTTGTCAATTATATTTCGATATGAGGAACTACTTTAATTTATATTGATTTGTATTAATTTTATTAATAATTTACAATATAATTCAAATTTTTCTGCTTTCTTAAAAAAAGTATCAAATTTATGTGTGTAAAATAGATACTTAATCGAAAATTAGATGATGTATGTATTATGTATCACGTATATATTTTATTTATATATGTATAGTGTGTGTAATTTATCATGTAGATATCATATGTGATTCTATCATTATGTTTTACTTACATTGGGAAATAGACGTTACGCTAAGAAGACATAAAGCTGCGAACAACATCTTAAACGACAATAACCACGATTGGATTTAGACAAATATATATATTTATCGGATAACGGTTGGCACGAACGCTAACAATGCATTGATTAACAAACAATTATATATGTGGACATGGCAGATTAGATAAATAATTTAATCACCGATGGATTCCGATTACTTCTATGTCGGCTTTTCGCTTATCAGTATATTCGCAATTTAGATACGGGCGTATTATCAAATATGAAGAGTTCTTTGACATAGTATCTTTAGTTGCGGGCAATAGATAAACACACATGAATTCTAATCCCGGAAAGAATTAAGAACTAAGAACTGAAAAATGAAATCGCGAAATAAAGTAAAGTTTTATTTGCATGTGATACAAATAAACAAATTTCAATTATACATATTTTCTTTATGTTTTTTGCACATATAAAAAAATAATATGCATTTTATAAATATATATTTTTTGCGAGTTTATAATTCAATTGTGTTATAAAGACATTTATTAAATGGCATAATAACTTTTTTGCAAGATTTTTGTATATAATATGCATTATAAATTACAATTATTTGTCGGAGATATTGTCTTCATTATATAAATTCTGAACATCTCATGATTGATTGATTGATATTTATATCTGCGAAGATTCTTTTAAGTTCAATAAATTTTATGATTGCTAATTATCATGATTGTCTTATCAGATTGCATCACAAAGATATAATAAACACATTTCAACCACATTTATTTTATGCATTTAGTGGAAACAAAACATAACTTTGATAATATTGTGAGAAATGAAGATAAGAAAAAAGGAAATATATATATTTCCTATATAACTTTATATATAAGTAGAATTTTTATACAGTCTTCAATGCCAAAACGATAAGAGAACATTTATTCATCGGAATTGTGTACCGTGCGTATAGAAAAATATTGTAATATCGATATAGATATAACATCGGGGGATTATATCGGATGCTGATCTCATTCTTTATAGATTAATTTTACACGTAGCTAAAAGCATCTTTTTTATAGTACGAAACTTATTTTATTTGGCATCTGATAATAGCTAATGGACAATAATTCGCCTAAATGTACGAGAAATTTTTATTTCAAAATGTCGCTAGAATTTTATAAGCATTACAAAACAGCGCTTTTAAAATCCTTCTCGCAGTTCTTTATTTCTGCATCTAACGCGTTAAGATGAACAAGTTGTGCGCTGTTTTTCTCTAATTAGGATAAAGTAGCCGTCAGTCAATGTAGCGTATCTCCGGTGGTGTCATAACCCATTATGAAGGCACCTGGTTGAGTGACCTTTCGATCGATATACCAGGACAGATGCGAAACTGCATCCAAGGCGACGTTGGCTCAGCTCCAGATACTTCGAAAGCCTTATTCGTGCTGATAATGCTGTAGAGATATTATTTTTTTTTACGAGTTAAACGCGCCGCCTTTAACCGAAGAGTTTTGAATAATGCAGCGTTAATTTCGATTTTTTAAATCTCATTGTCAGTTTGCTTACGTGTCATCTTTAAACTGTAGAGATATACACAATTCCATGATAAATATAAATACTAATGTGTACAAATATGTGCAATTTTTTATTAATACACTATTGTCTGTATGAAATTGATGTTTGACATCCAATTTTGGAATTTTCCATGAAAGGAACGACATTTATTGGAAAACTCGTTTTGTACAAGTTTTATATTACGATACATAAGAGTGCACGCACGCGCGTGCGCAGTATATAATATAAATGAAAATATTTACGAAAATATTTTTTCTGCATAGTGGACGAATCATATTTAGTAATCTGTCAAAAATTTGGATGTGCTAGTATAACATAGCTCCATGAGAGTTGAGATAGAAAGACAAAAATTTCTCTCTAATATGTGTTATTATAACATGTATTGTATGATGCAAAATACGCTTGTTGATATCTGAAAACATAAATGTTTATGCGTGTAAACGTGTGTCATTTTATGATCTTTTATAAAAGAGAAAGATAATGCTGAAATTATTACTCGATAAGAAATACATAAGTAGAATTTAATGTATGGTAATCATTTCACGTCGAAAGATTATCGAAGAGAGAAATTTTCGAGACGTTGAAGTAAATTTTATAAGGAGCCGAATATCCGAACTTTAAGAAGATGAAAGTTTACCAAGTTCTCAGAATTTGTTATACTTCATTCCACTCTGAACTTCGCAATGTCGTCACTGAATTCGTCTGTTCTGGAGGCGCCATCTTTCTTTATCACGAAATCTTGACAGATAGCAGTGGGAACGAAATGCCTGGATTCCAAGGTACGGATCGATCGATTCTCCCTACCTAATGGAATGCAGTCTGGCTGGTTAAAATCGAACTATCGAATGTGCAGATAATTACGCTGCTATAAGTGAAAAGATTCTTTGTGTAAAAATATGTGTCGAGATCTTTTGAATTTTAAAATTCAAGATATTGCGTTTCTAAAAATGTGATTTCTAATTTGTCGCTGAAAGTAACAGAAGGACTGCTTGCGTGAGACGTAACAATACGTCCCACAGTTTCACGATTCTTGATTAGACTTAGAGATTCTGTAATCGTGATATCTTGGAGTGTAGTAGGAAGCAAAAGGTCGATCGATCCTACCGACCAAGAAGAGATATTGAGAACCGCTGTTCCAGGACTCACCTGCGTCCGACGACCCCCATATCCGGAGCTTTTCATCGATCATACAGGTAGTGAAACGGTCTGACTCACGTGTGCAATCCTATACTTAATTCATTAATGTACATGATTGTGAAATTATTCAGACTGCTCTCAAACTATTTAGATTCGCGGAAATAAACCATATACAAAGTTAAAAATGTCCGATGTGGTAGTTAGACATGCGCTATTTTTTGTTAACAAAAAAGATTTCTAAATGTATTCTTTCTAATCATAAAGCACGATTATGTGTGAGTACAGAAGATATAGTTAAAATATTCTGATATATATTATTATTTTTCTCTATTAACGTTTTATATCAATATCAATGTCAATAATTTTTTTAACGAGAAAAATCGTATTGTTTTATAAGAAATATGTCAAAATATCAGAGTTATATCTTTTAGAATGTTATATAATCAAGAGAAAATAGAGTTGCGATCAAGTGAAACAATTATTATAAATTAACATATGTGCATCATTTATATATCTTTGTATAATGCACATAAAGAATTAAAGTTGACTTAAATCCAAGCAAACAATCCCGTAGAAACTTCCTGCGTTGTAATTGTTAACAGTTATATATAGTATCCAAGGGAGCAGTAAGGGGAAACGCGAATTACAGTGCAAAGTTTATCGAAGGAAATACAAGGAATCAGAGAAAATCCCTCTTTTAAATTTAGGATAATCACATATTTCTCACGTCAATTGTTTAAGGTGTAGGATATTATCTTTTTATGTATATTCTATTCTCTCATTCTCGCTTTTTATAATAATTTTACACATCGGTGATCGCGCTCCAATTTTTCTGCATATAAGTATGCAAACTGGTAGCGCCGAATAATGCTATGTGGGTGTTTTCAATATCGCCTTTACGGCCTGTCGTAAAAACAAAGAGCACCGACGCGACATGTCCTCCGTAAACGATTTCTCTGTTTGATTTATAACGTCTTATAAGTTAGCGGAACAAAATGAGCAGAATCAATTCTAATTAATATTTTTATTTGTTGCTCATTTGTTGCTAAAAAGTTGCCAAAGAAAAAAATTTGTTGCTCTGTAAGTTTTTAAAAACAAATGATGTTTCGCTAAAGGAAGATTAAGTTAGCGGAATAATATATATATAGCAACAAAATTGTACATAACAATAATATAAGAATTTGTTGCTAATTTGTTGCTCTCGAAATATGCAAGTTCCGAATTTGTTGCTTGCAAAATAAGTATAAATAATGCCGAAAAGCCGCACAGCGTGCAAACTTACAAGAGTAAACAATCAGAAAAAAATTTGTTGCTCGCTTAAATTTGATACTGACGTATTGTCTGAATTTGTTGCTCTCGAAATATGCAAGTTCCGAATTTGTTGCTTGCAAAATAAGAATAAATAATGCCGGAAAGCCGCACAGCGTGCAAACTTACAAGAGTAAACCACCAGAAAAAAATTTGTTGCTAGCTTAAATTTGATACTGACGTATTGTCTGAATTTGTTGCTCTCGAAATATACAACTTCCGAATTTGTTGCTTGCAAAATAAGAATAAATAATGCCGGAAAGCCGCACAGCGTGCAAACTTACAAGAGTAAACAACTAGAAAAAAATTTGTTGCTCGCTTAAATTTGATACTGACGTATTGTCTGAATTTGTTGCTCTCGAAATATACAACTTCCGAATTTGTTGCTTGCAAAATAAGAATAAATAATGCCGGAAAGCCGCACAGCGTGCAAACTTACAAGAGTAAACAACTAGAAAAAAATTTGTTGCTCGCTTAAATTTGATACTGACGTATTGTCTGAATTTGTTGCTCTCGAAATATACAACTTCCGAATTTGTTGCTTGCAAAATAAGAATAAATAATGCCGGAAAGCCGCACAGCGTGCAAACTTACAAGAGTAAACAACTAGAAAAAAATTTGTTGCTCGCTTAAATTTGATACTGACGTATTGTCTGAATTTGTTGCTCTCGAAATATACAACTTCCGAATTTGTTGCTTGCAAAATAAGAATAAATAATGCCGGAAAGCCGCACAGCGTGCAAACTTACAAGAGTAAACAACTAGAAAAAAATTTGTTGGAGCAACAAATTTTTTTCTTTGGCAACTTTTTAGCAACAAATGAGCAACAAATAAAAATATTAATTAGAATTGATTCTGCTCATCCTGTTCCGCTAACTTATAAGACGTTGATTTATATCCGAATATCTCAGCGATATCAATGTGTTAGACGAATTTTTATTTTTCTTTCCTAAGCACAATCGATACTCGTTGATGAATGTTATTTTCTTATTCGCGTGCGAAAATCATCCGAAAATGAACATCTTTTTTTAGTATGATGATGCTGACGATTATTACTTTTCGTAAAACGGAAAGTGACATTATGAAGTGTAGCATTTTAACAAACGCGTCAGTTCTCTGTTTACAAAGCTCTACACGCCTGTGCGCGTGTGTGCGAGATGTAGAAATTAACGTCGGACAGAAATGAGAGAAAATGGATGTAAATGGTTCTTTTAGTCGTTTTTGAGAGAAGTGTTTGTTAATTTCTCTGAAACAATTTCGTGCACTTGACGTATGCTGTCGGAATGGTTCAACGGTTTGCTTTGACCCACTTTTCTCTTTTGAT